GGGCCTAGACCTTTCTGAAGAAGGGTCTGGGCCCGAAACGTCAGCTTTCCTGCTCCTCTGATGCTGCTTGGCCTGCTGTGTTCATCCAGCTCTACACCTTGTTATCTCAGATTCTCCAGCATCTGCAGTTCCTACTATCTCTGAAACAGTGAAGCAGAGTTCAGACATAAAAAGATCAGCCACTATCTTATTCAATGCAATCTTGAAGAGTCAAATAGTCTATTCTTTTGTTCATTTGTCACTTTGTTCCTGCATCCCCTTTAGAAATGTAAATTTGTGATTATATTGCTTCTTCTCACTTTCCTGCTAAAATGTATCACTTTGTGTTTTATGTCTGTGTTAAATTTTTCTGCCTTGCGTCACAAAGCAGGGGAGTGCAGTTTGCAGCCCTCGAATAAGATGCCTCATAGTAGACATTGAAAACTAAAGGTAGCTATTCAGAGCAGGGGAAGGTGGGAGAAGGTTGGAAGCGATGTTCCACAATAATCGTTACTTGCATGTGAAAAGCAATGAAGATACCTCCGTGAGGGAATTGGGTGTGCTACTTGGATGGGAGGTAGATATATTTAGCATGTGCAAAGTCCCAAAACCAAGTGATTGCCTCTTCATTTGCTGTGAGTAAGGGGAATAGTCCACCACTTACTCTGTACAGGGGTCACTCCTCAGGAATTTGTGTTTCCTCACAAGTACATCAAGAGTTTGTACTGCTGGCAATGGAAGGACTTCTCTTGAACCTTCTTCACCTGAAGAAGGAGTGAGACTCCGAAAGCTTGTGTCTTCAAATAAGCCTGTTCGACTATAACCTTGTGTCGTGTGATTTTTGACCTTGTTCACCCCAGTCCAACCACTGGCACCTCCACATCATGGCTTCTCCTGAACCTGTTTAGCAAGAGCCAATTTCACCGTGGTAGTTCGAACATGCCATTTGACCAATGAAGTATGTCCCAAGGAACGTGTTAGTGATCTCCCATGTTTCCTATGCCATCCCTGCTGGTAGATCTTCCTCAGGAAAGTTGCTTCAGATGAGGCATCGAAATGGCAGATGGACAGGAGGTGAATTGGTCAGGTCATCGTAGAGTGGGAAGTGAGGAGCAGCGTGGATGGTTTCAATCAGTTAGTGAGTCTTCATCAGCAGGTGGATGTGTCGTGGAGCGAGGGAAGGGTTCTGAGTGGGGAGAGGGTGGCACAGTTATAATTTGCACTGCTGCACTCAATTAAGAGTCAGCAAGGTGTGTTGGGGGTGGTCTGTGCTGGACAGGTGAATAATACTGCGCTGTGTAATGGTTATCTGGCTGTTGTTGAACAAGGAGTTTAAATGAGGCATGTGAGAGATACAACCAGATGAGATGCTCAAAGAAGCTGGGTTAACCAGAGGCACAAAGGAACTGACTAAGGTGTGTCTAAGGCAGTGGAAGGCATAACTAGGTGCAATAGTTCATACAGAGGGAGGTGTAATTGCTACCCAGCCAGGTTAATGTCAAGGTCATAACCTCAATGCAATCCTCTACCATAAACTCATTGGTGCTAAGGGCTTTGTACCAGAGTGGGTGGACATCCTGGAAGGAGATATGGAGAGGGTGGTGAGAGCTGGCTCACTGGCACAGTCCATGGGGTCAGCGTTGGGAAGGGTGACTACAACAGGGAGGTGATTTGGCAAAATCAGCCCTTAGCCAGCTGATTGGAACAGCTCCAGTTACTCCAGTTCCAAAGAAGTACCATCTACCCTACATGTTAACTCTGTTTTTCTCTCTCCGCCAGACCTGCTGAGTAATTCCAGAATAGCTGCCAATGGGGTCCATTACTGGCTGACAATGGGTTGTTTGTGGTAGCAGCCCATATGATGACAAGGTCTTGTGTGTGGGCAGGTTGGGGTAAGGACATGGGAGAAGATGGTCAGGCCTCAAAATTATTGAACTCAATGTTGAGTCGTGAAGGCTGCAGCGTTCTTAAGTGGGAAATGCGATGCTATTCGCAGCTATTGATTCTCCCAGGCTGACCTTTAACCATGCCTTTGTCTATCCAACTGTTTTACTCTCTCTTTGGTCTCCATCTCCACCTATCATTCACTCCTTGCCCCTCCCCACACCTCATCTTCAGCATATATCCCAACCTTTTCCATGCTAATATCAGTTCTGAAGAATGGTCACTGGACTCGAAACATTAACTCTGCTTTCTCTCCACAGATTCTGCTGAGTTTTTAACGTCAATTTCTGTTTTTGTTTCTGATTTCTAGCAAACAGAGTTTATTGAGTTTTTTTTAGTTTTGTATAAATTGTTGTGTTCATTTGAAAGTTGGCATTCTTGCATTCTTCCTGGTTAATTGAAAATGAAAACCTTTGGTGACATGTCTTTTTCCAGTGATATTCAATTTCTGTACGAGCAAGAAGAGATTTATTTTTCATTTTCTCACAGGATGAAGACATCACCAACAGGGCCAGCCTTTGTTGACCATCCCTAATTGCCCTTGACCTGATTGACTTGCCAAGTCAGAAAGCAATTAAGAATCAACCACATTGCTGTGGATTTAGAGTCTAATGTCAGCCAGTCTGGGTAAGGATGGCATATTTTCTTCCCTCAAAGACATTTGTGAACCTGATGGATTTTTCTGACAATTGATGATAGTTACATGGTCACCATTACAGAGACGAGCTTTCAATTACAGATTTTAGTAATTAATTAAAGTTAACCGGTCATTTTAATTGGGTGTCTACCTACTGCCATGGCAGGATTTGAACCTGTATGTGTATGGCAATAGCCTGGTTCTCCGAGCATTTTACCCAATGAAGCCACCACGATCCCACTAAATTGTGTTTATTAGATTGGTCTCCAGGATGACGGCATTCATCTTGATGAAAAGACTAGACAAGTTGGGCTGGTTCTCTTTGAAGCAGAAGAGGTTTTATGGAGATCTGACAGATCAAAAATCATGAATGGTTTTGATTGAGCAAACGAGGACAGACTGTTGACAGTGGCAACGGGCAGAGATGTAAGGCGTTTGCCAAAAGAAATGTAATTCTTCTGGCAGTGCCCACAAAGCAAGAAGGAGACTTGCCACACAAGAACCTATGTTTGGAGAATTTTAACATTAGGAAGCTCGTGCACTGGTACTGCATGGTGCTGTTGATTAGAACACTCCTGTACTCTTGATGCTTGCCATTGGCACATTGGAAGGACTAAGAATCAACCTGTTTTGCCCAAGTCATGATCACATCTTCTGTGGTCTTCAAGTTGGGGAGAGTGCATAGGTGGACTTGAATGCAGATCTTCTGGCTCAGAGGTAGGGACTACACATTGTGCCACTGAACCTCCTACACCAGAAGGAAAAAGACACAACATGGAGAACCATTTTTTACATTGTGCGCTATCATGATGGGAAATACCTGTAAGGGTGGTGGAAGCAGATTTCATAGTAAATTACAAAAGAAAAACTTGAAGAGAAAATTTGTGGATGGCTCTGGTGAAACAACACAGACCAGAAAATTTGAGCAAGAGGCCAGCAAATGGATAATGGATTGACTGGTCTCCTCTTGCGCTACATCATTCTATGATCCAATGGTAAGGCTAATGACAGAGGTCATCAGCTCGAAATGGTCTTAAGATCTGTTTCTCTCTCCACCAATGCTGACTGATCTGTTAATTATTTCATTTTCTTTTTCCATTTCAAATTTCCACAATACCTTGACTACATTTCTTTTGATACTGTTTTCTGTGAGGCGCCTACTCCATTCTTCCAGTTACTTCAGCCCTGTCTCATTTGTTCTGATCATACCATCATACATACAAGCACCTCTGAAATGTCTGTCATTTTCCTTAACTCTGTAATCTCACCTATCCTACTCCTGTCACTGTGATTAACAGTGCCCAACACATTTCCTACACTTCTCCTATCTTACAACCTTTACTGTCTCCAAGGAACACCATCAAACCCTTCTTCTCCACATATTCTATCCCATTCCATTGGTGATACCTCGGTCCACTCCTCTAATACCCCAAATCCCACCCCTTACAATGACAGCTTCCCATGCAAGGATAGGAGATGTGCCATCTACTCCTTCACCTCCTCCCTGCTTGCTATCCAGAGCCCATGATTTATTTGTACATCTTTCACTTTAGAAGACGTATGAGCTGCCCCTAATGTGGCCGTCTCTGCATTGTAGAGACTTAACTCAGAATGGATTTTAGTTTTTGTTTAATGCCTCTGTCTCCTAGTGGAGCTTCAGTTTCCACTTACTTAACATTTTAATTCTGTGTCCCATTCCCACTGATATCTTGGTCTTCAGTCTCCGACACTGTTTCAGTGAAGGTCAGTGGAAACTCAAGGAATAGCACCTCAGCTTTCGATTCACGACTTCACAGGTTTCAGGACTCAACAATCAAATTCAATCACTTTAGATCATAACCACACAGCTGGGGCTGGAAATTGTTTCGATGTTGCCCTTTGCACCTCATCTGAACTTAGCATTTATTTGTCAATTGGCTATGTCTGCTGCAAATGCCACCTCTAGGTGGCGCAGAGTGTGCGTACATGTAAAGGACCTGATGTCACTTGGAAGTGATGGGAGGAAAGCAGCAGTCAATCTTAAAAATGACGCTGCCACAAATGTCAATAAACAAAGGAAGCGGAATTCAGGACTTGGAGGCCGACATCCTCAGGATGGTGGTGGTGGGGAGTAGGGGGCGAGGGTGTGGGGGAGTGGTGTTAACAGCAGCCCCACCCACAGGCATGGCCTCCAGACTCTGGGAAGGGCCCCTCCCTGGGCGGCATGGCTACTGGACAGAGCGGGCAGTGAGGTATCGGCAGTGGCTGGTGAGGGATAGTGTGGTCACCACCACACTGATCCACTGCTGGCTGACATCAGGGGCCACATCTGCACATGTGCAGGTGTCATTTTGGCATTTGGGATACTCACTCTATTCTTAATTTGTCCCACCAGCATATTTGTCTGACTTGATCATTATCCCACTTTCCATTTAATCCCTCCTGTGTTTCAGCCTTCCCCCTTATCTTATAACTTCCTTCACCCTTTCATGCCTTTGTACCTGTCTCTCACTTCTTTCTGTTCTGAGGAAAGCTTATTGAAGTGAAACATTAACTCCTGTTCCTCTCTCTGCGGATACTGTCTGACCTGCTAAGCGTTTCTAGCAGCTTCTGACACAGTATACTCCTTGGTTCAGAAATTGTTGAATGACTTAAAAAAAAAGACTTGCATTTATATGGCGCCTTTCATGACCTCAGGAAGTTCCAACGTTCTTCACAGCCAAGGAAGTCCTTTTGCATTTGAGAGTCACTGTAATGTAGGGATGATAAGCTTCAGTATACACAACCAATTTATAAAACAATGGATATAATATCTTCTGCAGCATGTAAAACATTGAATTATAGACTTTAACAAAGATCCCAATAAATAAAACAATGACGGATAATATTTAGTATAATATTTCATACATAATAATCTCTGGTTTTTATTATACACCTCTGGGTGACAAACAGTGTATGACAGGCTTCAGCACATTCTTTAGAATACAGTGGCAAAGATTTGTTAACAAGGACGAAATTTAAAAATCAAGACGATATATGAAGCCAATGAGGCTCAGTGATCATAGGAGAGTTGGGTGAACGGAGTTTGCTGTGAGTGTGAAATATGAGCAGTAATGATTTGGATGAGTTCAAGTTTACAGTTTGCAGAACTTGGGAGGCTGGCCAGGAGAACATTGGAAAGTCTCAAGGTGACAAAAGCAAGAATGGAGATTTAAATGGCAGACTGTGTACAGATGGATCATGTTGCGAGGTGAAATAAATAAATCTTTGTAGGTTACGTGGAACAATCCCTCTTCCGTAGCTACACTGGCCCTAAACCCCACCTCTTCCTCCGTTACATTGATGACTGTATCGGCGCCGCCTCGTGCTCCCATGAGGAGCTTAAACAGTTCATCCACTTCACCAACACCTTCCACCCCAACCTTAGGTTCACCTGGACCATCTCTGATACCTTTCTCTCCTTCCTGGACCTCTCTGTTTCCATGTCTGGCATCCACCTAGAAACTGATATCCATTTCAAGTCCACCGACTCCCACAGCTACCTAGAATACACCTCCTCCCACCCACCTTCCTGCAAAAATGCCATCCCCTATTTCCAATTCCTTTGCCTCTGCCGCATCTGCTCCCAGGATGAGGCATTCCACTCCCGTACATCTCAGATGTCCTCGTTTTTCAAGGACTGCAACATCCCCCCCATCAGTGATCGAGAACGGCCTTGACCGTGTCTCCCGCAACTCATCCCTCACACTCCCTCCCCGCAATAACAACCAAAACAGAATCCCCCTCGTCCTCACATACCACTCCACCAACCTCCGGATCCAACGCATCATCCTCCGACACTTCCGCCATCTGCAATCTGACCCCACCACCAAACACATTTTTCCCTCCCCACCCTTATCTGCTTTCCGGAGGAACCACTCTCTCTGGGACTCCCTTGTCTGCTCCACACTCCCCTCCAGCCCCACCACACCCGGCACTTTTCCCTGCAAACGCAGGAAGTGCTACACCTGCCCCTACACCTCCCCCCTCACCCCCATCCCAGGCCCCAAGAAGACTTTCCACATCAAGCAGATGTTCACCTGCACATTTGCTAATGTAGTATACTGCATCTGCTGTTCCCGTTGTGGCCTCCCCTACATTGGAGAAACCAAGCGGAGGCTTGGGGACCGCTTTGCAGAACACCTATGCTCGGTTCGCACTAAACAACTGCATCTCCCAGTCGTGAACCATTTCAACTCCACCTCCCATTCCGCAGAAGACATGTCCATCCTGGGCCTCCTGCACTGCCACAACGATGTCACCAGAAGGTTGCAGGAACAGCACCTCATATTCTGCTTGGGAACCCTGCAGCCCAATGGTATAATGTGGACTTCACAAGCTTCAAGATCTCCCCTCCCCCTACTGCATCCCAAAACCAGCCCAGCTTGTCCCTGCCTCCCTAACCTGTCCTTCCTCCCACCTACCCCCTCCTCCCACCTCAAGCCCCATCTCCTACCTACTAACCTCATCCCGCCCTCCTGACCTGTCCGTCCTCCCTAACTCCCCACCTACACTCACCTTTACTGGCTCCATCCCCGCCTCTTTGACCCGTCTGTCTCCTCTCCACCTATCTTCTCCTCTATCCATCTTCTATCCGCCTCCCCCTCTCTCCTTATTTATTTCAGAACCCCCTTCCCCTCCCCCATTTCTGAAGAAGTGTCTGGGCCCGAAACGTCAGTCTTCCTGCTCCTCTGATGCTGCTTGGCCTGCTGTGTTCATCCAGCTCTACACCTTGTTATCTCAGATTCTCCAGCATCTGCAGTTCCTACTATCTCTGAAATAAATGGCCTTTGTGATGGAAAGGATAGGTAGTGATCTAGAGTTCACATAGGATACCACTGGAAGGTAATGAACAGTACCCAAAACAGTGAATGATAAACTTTGGTATATCCTTCAATATTGACTGCACTAAACTTAATACGAGTTGGAATGCAAGTAGCAGAAAAGGCTGTGGAGTTAATATTGAGGATTAAACAAATGGTTCCTGTCAATCCAATAGGATATTGGCATTGCAAACATCCAGAGAAGATTCGTTAAGTTGTTCCCAGGTCTGGAGGCATTTTCTTAAGAAAATATGTTGAGCAGGTTGGGCCTGTTCTCTCTGAAGTTTAGAAAAATGAGAGAAGACTTTATTGAAACCACAAAATTCTTCGAAGCCTTGACAGGGTAAATGCAAGATGTTGGAGAAAGCAAGAACTGCAGATGCTGGAGTCAGAGTCA